GGGGGTCTGGCTACTGCCTTCTCTGAAAGCAGACCTTGACATCATGTACATAATGCTGATTTTACCACCATGTGCAATGCGAGAGTTGTAGGATCAGGGAGATCTTTTTTGTTGACAAGAGAAAGGATGTAGAAATTGTCATGGAATGTCAACTTGATTTATCAAGGTATTCCTCCAGTGCATAAATGGAAGACGTTTCTGAGTGGGTCTATATGAGTCATGAAAGCACAGCCTGGAGGTTTCTTTCTGGCTCTCAGTCTCTTCTTATCTATCACCATTCCCTGCTCTGCTTCCGAGCCACCAGAAACTCAGCATCTTTTCTTTCTCATGCCCTTTCACCAGGGTGTTTCTTCCTTGGACTTAGCTGACCCTGTAGTGGATCCCCGGAACCCAGGAGGCAAATGAAACCTCTTTTCCTTGGAGCCAAGTGTGATGTGCCATGCCTGTAACCCAGCACCCAGTAGCCTGAGGCAGGAGGATTGCCATGAATTTGAGGCCAGCCTGGGGTACATAGTGAGATCCTGTCTTGAAAAACCAAACCAAACCAAACCAAAACCTTTTAATTTGAGCATGTCAAATGTGGTGTTTCAGAGATAATAAAGGTGTCTAATATAGTAACCAAGAGATCTATAGCATCAATGTCATCTAAGTCCCAATGAGGGTGGGTATCAGGGGCATGCCTACAATCCCCAACACTAAGAGAGCTGAGGGAAAAGGATTGTAAATCTGAGGCCAGCCTGGCCAACTTAGTGCCATCCTAACTGCCTCAAAGCTAAAAATAAATAAATCTACCTTACTGCTAGAGCACTTGCCTGGCATGTACAAAGCTCTGGGTTCATTCCCTAGTGCCACTAAAACAAAAAACAATGGCAGTAACCATGACAAATGCAAAGAATATTTCACAGAAATATAAAATTGTGTTAGAATTCATACTGAAGGGACCCAGAATAGCTAAAACAATCTTGAAATGAAAGAAAAAACTGAAAAACTCATGCTGATTTCAATTTTTACTATAAAGATACAATAAAACAGCACAGTGAAACAGTTTGTTCTGTATAAACCCTACCTCTTTGCCTCACTAAGTTGAACAATGAAATCATGAACAACAGGGTGCATTTAGAAGAATGTTTATTTGAATCAATAAGAAGAAAAAAGCGCTTGGCAGATTCCCACGCAGAGGGAACAGAAGTTCAGCAGTGTATCTTTGTCTTGGCCTCATAGAGAGAAGAAGAGTGGGACTTCTAAACAGGAAGGTTTGTGGGTTTAATGTTTAAAGAAAATTAGTTGTTCATCTGATTTACAGGAAACTGGTTATTCTGCATTTCTAAGCTTCTAGTCTGGAGATTGGAGGGCGCTGGTAACTAAGTCTGGTTTAGAGGCCTAAGAGCCTCATGGCAGGAAAGATCCTTACCTCTCCACTGTCATTGGAACCTTTTGTCTCTTGTTCTTGTGTTTTATTTTATATCTATAAGCTTGGGTACTTTCTTTTTTCTGATCCTATTGCCAGGCTATTTTGATTGCCCATCATAACTAAACTAAACTAAGCTGCTGTAATAGTACATGCCTACAGACAGATTTATCTATTGTAGAAGAGAATGGAGAGCTCAAAAATAAGCACTCACAGATGTAAACAAATGATCTCCAACTAGGGTACTGAGATCATTCAGTAGGGAAACGGGACTCTTGAACCAGAAGCACTGGAGAAACAAGGTCTCTTCTTGTCAATCAATGAAGATGGACCCCGATCAAGCACCATATATGAAAATTAACTTAGTGGCCTTGCACACCTGAAATCCCAGCTACTCATTAGACTGAGGCAGGAAGATCACAAGGTGGAAGCCAGCCTGTTTCAAAATAAAATGTAAAGGCTGGTGATATAAGGCACCAGTGGGTGTGATCCTCATTAACTCAAAATTGGATCAAAGACTTAAAAGAGATTAAACAACAAAGCTCTTAGCAGGAAACCCAAGCTGAGTTTGGGTCTTCTTGACTTCTTTCAGAGATGACCTCCTACGCAGTAATTCATCTGTCAATAATTCCTAGAGAAAGGAAAGATGAACATAGTACAATTATGATATTATATTAAAATGAAAATAGCACCCATCCCAGGAAACCCCTAAAACTTTAAGTGTGCCACCGAGGGGCGGATAAACTTCAGCCCTGATGTCAGGCTGCTTGGGCCCGAGACAGGAGACGAGGGCGTGGCTAAATGGTTGGACAATTTGGGCGTGACCTGTCAATCATGGAGACTTGTTAGCCACAGCCAGAACATCTGTGCAGAAGAGCTTTGGAGCCTGCATAGGAGGCTCAGATCTGACATCAGAACGGGGATATCAGGCCACTAAGTTCTGCTACCACCTCATGGCCTCCATGACCTGTGCTCCAGCCACTCTGAGCTCTGCAGGGCATACTTCTCCTATGTTAAGTGGCCCATGCTCACTCTGAAGAGTACACTCTTCGGCTACCTTTACCTTTGATCCCATCCTCAATGCCTTCAACAAATATAAAACCTCTGTGTTGCTCTTCATTTGTCTTGTCCAGTTCTTTGGATAGGACAGTAAGAGGCTGGGAGGTGGGGCTGGCACTCCAGCATTCTGTAACGGTTCCAGCAAACCCACCAGGAGGTAGGGGCAGACCACCACAGTCTGAAGAGTAGAGACGCTGTGCCTAGAGCTGCTGCTGCTCTACTTGGGTCCCACTGTGGGCTGAGCCAAGAGTGCGCCTCTACCCATGTCCCACGCTGGGCCCTTCTGGGGGTGCGGGAGCAGCCCCAAGTGCTCCTGGGGCTCTGTGCTTGAGCACTGGCTTCGGCTGGCTGGGTGCTCCACTGGGGGTGTCTGGCCCCAGCTCTTCTCGGAAGAGGTGGTGTGAGGGCCATGGAACCAAGCCTGGTGCAGCCCCCGATTGCCACGCCCCACGTGCTCTGTGCCAGCCAGGACTAGGGCATGCCTGCGGACTGCCCCAGAGAAAGCAGCAGGCGATTGCTTTAAGGCCTGTCCTACATGGCAGTCTATGGAGCCACTGCTGTGCAGCAAGCCCAAAGCCATGGCAGGAAGGCGAAGCCATCAGAGTGGGCAGCCCAGGATTCCGGCCTGCTATTGCCTTTAGCAGCCAGGCCCTGAGTGCTGGCCAGCTGAAGGGGAGCCACAGTGGCTTCCTGCCCAACAACACTGCTGGTGCCCTTGAGATTGGGCAAGGTCATTAGAGGATGTAGATGGGTGTGAGCCCCTTCACTTCACAGCAGCCCCTCTGCTTCCCTTGGGGATGGATATTGCTCCTGCCTGCCTCTCAACTCGACTCCCCACTACCTGAGCAAGCTTGCCAAGGGAGAAAAGTGCTGGATCCAGAGGAAGGAGGCGTCCACTCACTGTAGACCTTCAGTGGTCGGGGGATGGACGTCTCCCTTTTCTGCTTCTCAT